GAACAGCGAAAGGCCATCACAGGTTTCCTGATGTTACAAGCGGATAAAGGTACTCCCTGTGTAACTTAGATGTCAGCCATTGGCAGCTCATGCGTGACACCTGCGCTTGCTCAGGCCCTTTGAGGAGGCCACGCTATTCGTGAGGCGGCAGGACTATGGGATGAACGACGTCATTCCTCTGTTGCACGTCCTGGAACAAATGCTGTTAACAATGGCCGGTCAGGGTGCGGTAGATGTGGCGCACAGATCTCAACGCCACATGACCCCTGTGGGGGCAGGACAGGAAGAAGAGGAGGAGGTAGAGGAGGACATTGGTGCTCAGGAATTATTGAGTGAAATGGGTGGTTTTTCCACTCAGCGGACAGGAGTGGAGGAGCAGGAGCATCTGGTAGAGGAGGAGGAGGAGACAGAGGACCCAGACGCACCGTGGCAGTATGCTGTGGAGATGGAGGCAGGGAGTCCCTCGCATTCCTTGGCACAAATGGCCCATAGCATGCTCGCTTGCTTGCGTAGCGACAGCCGAATAATAACCATCAGACAGAGGGATGACTTTTGGCTGTCCACCTTGTTGGACCCTCGCTACCGTTCAAAAATGGTGACCTTTTTCACACCTGCTGAGAGGGAGGCCAAAATAACGTACTATAAAAACCACCTATGGAGTCAGCTGGTCTCTGCCTTTCTGCGCCAACGTCCATCCTCAGACACTGTGGGCCCTGTGCGCTCGCGTTCCGCTGCCATGGCAGCAGGGGAGGGGTGGGGTGGTAGGAGCAGTGGCAGCTCCACCAGCAGCGGCTGCCTCAGTCTGCAGTCGATGATGAGTAGCTTTCTTCACCAGCGCAGTGAGGAAACTACTAACCAGCCGCAGCAGCAGCAGCATCAGGTGGACCTGGAGCAGGACCTCAAACAACAGGCTTAGGCCTACTTGGACAGCACCCTGCCAACCGAGGTAGACAATCCCCTTGACTACTGGGCAATGAAACTTGACCTTTGGCCCCAACTAGCTGAATTTGCCCTTGAAAGGCTGTCATGCCCGGCCAGTAGCGTGGCATCGGAGTGCGTGTTTAGTGCGGCAGGAGGTATTGTAACTCCGCGGAGGACACGACTGTCCACCCAAAGTGTGGAGAGACTCACGTTTGTGAAAATGAATCAGGCGTGGATTAGTCTGGATTTCAAACCACCAGTTCCTGACACAACTGACTAAATCCGCCATGAATCATGCCCCTGCCATGTGCCACTTTCAGGTCTCCTCACACTGCTGTTGTGTTCCATTTTTTGTCATAGGGTGCTGGCAGATTACGGGCCTCCCATTGCTGCTGCCAGGCCCGTAATCTGCCATGGGCCCCTGTACCGCCTCCTCATGCTGCTGCCAGGTCCAGAGTGTGTCATGGGTCCCTGTACGGCCTCCATTGCTGCTGTCTCCATCGCCACACTCTGCCATGTGCCACTTTCAGGCCTCCTCACACACTGCTGGTGTGTTTCATTTTTTGTCATAGGGTGCTGGCAGATTACGGGCCTCCCATAGCTGCTGCCAGGCCCCTAATCTGCCATGGGCCCCTGTACCACCTCCTCATGCTGCTGCCAGGTCCACAGTGTCTCATGCCATGTGCCACTTTCAGGTCTCCTCACACTGCTGTTGTGTTCCATTTTTTGTCATAGGGTGCTGGCAGATTACGGGCCTCCCATAGCTGCTGCCAGGCCCGTAATCTGCCATGGGCCCCTGTACCGCCTCCTCATGCTGCTGCCAGGTCCAGAGTCTCTCATGCATCCCTGTACGGCCTCCCATTGCTGCTGTCTCCATCGCCACACTCTGCCATGTGCCACTTTCAGGTCTCCTCACACACTGCTGGTGTGTTACATTTTTTGTCATAGGGTGCTGGCAGATTACGGGCCTCCCATTGCTGCTGCCAGGCCCTTAATCTGCCATGGGCCCCCGTACCGACTCCTCATGCTGCTGCTAGGCCCGTAATCTGTCATGGGCCCCTGTTGTCGCTTGTTGGCATATTCCGCTCGTTCAGATGCTCCTTCTCCTGCTACTCCTCTTCACAGATTCCGTCAGCAGTCTTTCTTGGAATACGTTTCCAAGAGACAACAGTTTGCGAGCACGCACCCGACGGTGCAGAAGCTGAACGTCCTCCTGTCCAAGTTGCTGCTGCCAGGCTCGTAATCTGTCATGCGCCCCTGTACCGCCTCCTCATGCTGCTGCCAGGTCCAGAGTGTGTCATGGGCCCCCGTACCGACTCCTCATGCTGCTGCCAGGCCCGTAATCTGTCATGGGCCCCTGTACCGCCTCCTCATGCTGCTGCCAGGTCCAGAGTGTGTCATGGGTCCCTGTACGGCCTCCCATTGCTGCTGTCTCCATTGCCACACTCTGCCATGTGCCACTTTCAGGTCTCCTCACACTGCTGGTGGTTTCCATTTTTGTCATAGGGTGCTGTATGGCCTCCCATTGCTGCTGCCTCCACCGCCACACTGTGGCTCCCACACTCTGGTTTTGGCCCCGTGACTGCCCAAATGAGTGAAGTGTGCGGTGATTCTAAGATCGACGGCACTCATCTGCATGTCATACTGACTGTCAGTATTATTTCTCTTCCCCAGCAGACTCCAAGGGCATTTAAATTAAAGGTACAGTGTTCTGCACTAATATAAAGGCTCTCTGAAGCCTAGAAACACCCTTTTATAAGTTAAATTCGCAGCGAATATATTCGACTCGAATCAAAATTTTTCCACGAATTCGCCGAATCAGTCGAATCGAATTTTTGAATACTTCGCTCATCTCTAATGAAGACCATAATAATGAAGAACAGGATAAAAGGTCTGCCCAATTATCCTGCTGGGAAGAGACACAGAGGTGCAGGAACAGTTCTAAAATTAAGTTCTAAACCCTCAGCACAATAACCAAAGCCATGTTTGTCTGTCTGAGTTTCCTTTATCTGCTTCAGTTTCTACCAAAAACAGGATTATTGAAATTGGGTAATTAGTGATTGACCAAGCTGTCCCTAGTGCAGTTGAGAAAGCATTTTGTGAACCTCTTCAATGAACAGAGATGGATATAAACTGTTTGATGAACTCTGTAAAAGTGCTTTGTATTACATCCATTCTATATACTTATAAGAAACATTTTTTTTTTCCAAAGCAGGTTAGCAAACGAACACATGCCTGTCAGTTGCTAACTACGGGCAGCATCAACTTTTCCCCATTAAAATGTATTGTACATTACCTTTACAGATGTATCATTTTCTGCTATGGGAATGTTGATGCATTCATTTGACATGGAATCCGACATGTCCATTGTCATTTTATTCATCATACCTTGATCTGTCATCTTCACAGTAACTGAAAAATGCCATATTTGTGTAGATTACTATATACACTTGAATAGAGACAATAATTTACATTTTACAACCGACAGAGCCCAACATATACATTATGTATGTTTGTCTTCTGGTAAGGGAACATGAAACACCACGCATTTCAGTGCAAGTAATGACACTAAAAAAAACATGGCCATTGTGTGGCCTGAATATACAGCATACAACCCTTGAAAGGCGCACATGTGTATTATGACTACTTACAGTAGGCATTCTCAGCTGATGCTCCATGTTTGGTCATCTGCAAACTTTCAACAATGACCGATATCTACTCAAATATTATACAGCATGTGTGGAAGATTTTGATTTATAAGAGCTGTATTAGTTATTTTTTATGTGGTCGTCTGTAGAAGATCTTCTGCCTCAAGGCTGCTTACGTTCATTTGCTCCTCTGCCTTTTTTTTTTTTTTAACCGTGGAAGCAAGGAGAAGATATCCTGTGTAAGCTCCAAGTAAATCCTTGCACAGGGCTAGGGACTCCACATCCCATGACAGAGCATCGGTGTCTAAATGGCCAATCACCAAGTAACAGCATTGTCACAAGTCAGATGCTCCCCCATACCTAGAAGTACTGGGTGTTTCTCTTATCTTTCCCAGGGTATGGAGTGAATCGGGGTTGAAGGAAAAGCAAGTCAAAGCAGTTGATGGAAGATGAACCTGTTGCTTTACCTTTCATTGGTTCAGAACTAGTTTGTGTACCGTTGTAGCAGTACCTCATTTTTTTACCCAGGTGCATGTTAAGCTCAGTCCTCTATAGAAAAACACTGAACCCCCCACCATTAGTTTGCTTACACATTGCAGAAGAGATTTTTGATTATGAAGTTAAACTAGACCACTTCAGAAAGTCAGAGTGGTTCATTATTAGCAAGAAATTTAGGGGTAAAAGCTAAAAATATTTTGATTAGATCAAAATGTACTAGTTGCACTCAAAAGATTATTTTCCTTTGCATACAAACAAAAGGATATTTACAAGATTGTTATTTTACCAGACATGCAAGTCCAGCATTTAGTACAATTAGGCCCATCTCCTCATCGCTCCCTAGACATCATCTTTACTCTGCAGAATCTGCATAGAATCAGTCAATATTCTTCACCTGGCTGGATCTTCTAAGGGCATGAGACCTGATTTCCGAGGTACGTTGTGTGAAAATATCTGGAAGAATGCAACAAAATGGAGGAGAGAAGAGCAGATGTATCAGACAGGTGTATAAACATGCTTCGAACACTGACAATCTTCCCATTTTTAGTGTATTTGATATGTTATTTTTGTACTGGTACTTTAAACTGTGTATTTACTTTTTTTTCCACAGTCTATTTTTTAATTCTGGAAAAAAAAAAAGGACAATAATGACACTTCTGAGGGGCTTTTTTGCCACAAAAAATGGTTTCACTGGAGTGAGGATGTGTCCCAGAAGTCTAAATTGTGCTTTAAAAAAGGCCTGGTGGCTTACCATAATCCAGGGCAATTTTTGGTATCTGGGGGATCAATTTTCCCATAAAATTGGCAAGGAGTGAGAGACTGTTAATCCAAAATAACGAAACCACTGGATAGGACCACCAGATTTGGTAGAAGGTACCCAACTGGCCACAGAGATGTATAGCCAGGTACATAATAGGCAACACAAACAGGGACCATATACCATCTTGTCAGGACCTTATAGTTAGTTTCAATAGCTAGCACATTTTGAGAACTAAGCTTCACAGTTTCCAAGAGTTGGTACCATTCCTCTTCCTCTATAGTCAACCCTAAATCAGTATGCCTTTGTCAGTTACACGTCGGGAATTGGGATGTAGTAGGGGCAGCTAGTAAAGCATGTATAAATGATATTAAACCTGGAGCATGCAGGTATCTCTACAATGTTGTTTGAAGGGTGTGAAATACAGGAGGACCTTCTGGGAATTTAATACTGCATTCCAAAAAGGGTTTACTCTGGTGAGATCTAAGAGTTCCATTGATGGAACTAGTTGTGTCCGGCTTAATCCATGTTGCAAAATTTGAGCAGCAATGATATGCGAGAAGAAAAGGTGAGTTTTGCACCATAGACATGAGAGGTATATTTGGCGACATCAAGCCTCCAGAATATTTATTGGCATCCCACACCTGCATTGTATGTTCCACAATGGGGTTTACCAGGTGAGGTCTACTATATGGAGCCAGCCTTACAAGGTTATGTATGCAGACTGGATCCCAATCCGGCACCTCTAGAGCAACCCAGAGAGGGGATTTGGATGTCATGTGTAATTTAGGGATCTGGGCCAACTGAGCAGGCCGGTAGTATCTAGCTATATTTGGGAGGTCTAACCTAACCAGGAAAATAGGTCATTTAAATTACTGCTACCCTGTCCAACCAGGAGATATGTAAATTATTCCAGGCTGTAAGCCTACGTATCAGCAAAGGATTATTTGTGGAATAAGGAGTATCATTGGATGTTATGAAGGATATTCCTAGATAGGGTAAATATTCAGGAAGCCACAGGAATTGTGGCGTTGGAAGGGATATATTGAGTGCTTTACACTTGGCTCATTCAGTCAGTCAAAGACTAGAGTTAAAATGAATCTAAAGAGTATAGCTAAAAGAATTGGCAAGGAGGTAACAGGATTGGTGAGATGAAGGATCACATCATCACCAAATAAACTTATCCTATGATCAGTGTCTGAAACAGAAATCCCTGTAACAATTGGATTTGCTCCTATTAACTGAGCCAAGGGTTCAATGAGAAAGGTGAAAAGGGAGTGGGGAAAGAAAGCATTCTTATCTAGTGCCACTAAGCACTGGAACGGTGGTTGACTTGAAACCAGACTATCAGACGTAACCATACAGGGAAGTATATAAGAAAGCAACCCAACTACAGATACAGTATTAGGACCTAATCTCTGTTTAGGCAATAGATATGAAAGACAAGACCATCATATTGAATTTAAAGCTTTTCTGAGATCTAAGGATGGAAGAAGAAGATAAGGATATTCTTGATTTTGACATGGTAAGTGAGGTGTATGATCTTACATACATGATCCCAGCTTGACACATTGCAACTGAATTGATCCTTAAGTGCTAGTATTTTGGCTAGCAATTTAACATCCTAGTTGTGGAGGAAGATTAGCCTGTAATCAGACCAGGAGGTGGTATTAATTTGGGGTTTAGGCTGAGATCTTAAATGTAAATCTACCAAATAGTGAAAAAGAAAAGATACAAAAAGAATTCCCTTTTATATGGAAAGATAGAGAGATAAAATATTTAGGGGTTAAACTCACTGCTTTATATACGGATTTGTACAAGATAAATTATATCTCACTTTTAAATGAGATTAAGGAGGAACTTAAGAAATTGGGAGGAGGTAACCCGTCTTGGATGGGGCGCATAAATCTGATAAAAATGGTGATAGTACCTAAAATCCTATACAAATTCCAGATGATCCCAATTAAACTTCCAGAGGTTTTTTTTAAGGTGATTAAAAAGATGCTAATAAGATATATTTGGAAAAAATAAAAAAAACAGGATATCTTATGATCTGTTGAGTAGAAATAAAGAGAAGGGAGGATTGGGAGTGCCAGATTTTAAGAGGTATTATAGAGCAGCACTTCATGCAAGAATTTATGACTGGACACACAACCCAGAGGGGAAAAGGTGAGTTAAAATTGAAAACGAATTAAGTGGAGTTAATTTGAGTAAAATCATATGGGTTTCAGCACAATATAGAGGATTAAAAGATACCACGAGTGTTTATACAGTAAATATTTTAAAGGTTTGGGATAATTTGCATAAGCTCATGAAATGGGATTTTAATTCACAATTAATGTCACTAAGGAACACGGAGTATTTTCCTCCAGGTAGGGAGGAAGCCACAGGAAAATGGTTTAAAAAGGAGGATATCCAATTGAGGGATATCATGGAAGGGCAGGAATTGAGAACACTTAAGGATTTGAAAAAGGATAAAAGGGAACTTTTTATTAAGATAGACGAGTGGAGATATCACCAATTAAAACACTTTGTTAGGAGTCTTCCGAAACCTTTGAGATCGAGAAAAGATTGGAACTTGTTTGAGAGGTTGTTGGAGTCACGTGGGGATGGGAAGCGGGGCACGGCAAAAGTTTATAAGATTCTCACTGAGTTAGATACACACACAAAACCAATGTATATAGTAAAATGGGAAAGGGAGTTGGGGATAGAAATCGATGAAGACAAACAGAGAAAAATATATA